ACATGAGTCGGCGCATCAGGGAATGAGTCTGCGCATGACTGAAGGAATTTCAACCTCTCTCGCTCGGGAAGGCGCACGCCTTCTCTATGCATCGACGCATAGTTCTGGGAAAACATGAGTCAGTGCATCAAATAATGAGTCAGCACATAAATGAAGGAATTCCAACCTCTCTCGCTCGGGAAGGTGCACGCCTTCTGTATACCCTGCATGAGTCGATGCATCGCTAAATTGTCTCATTTTTCTGCTATGCTGTTACATTATGGGAATGACTTATAAATATTATTTTGGCCTCTGTTTTACAAAAATAACAAGAAAAAGTGAAATATATATACAAGAGTTATCTTCATCTTCAACCTCTCATCAATTATCAACAACTACACACAATCATTTTTGTTGATCAAGTTCTTGGAATTGTGTTGATAACGTCCGAATTGAAAGTGCAATGTCAGATTTGGGTAGAGATCTTTATGGGTTTTTTCTTGAATAAAACCATTGGGGTTTTGTCCTCCAAAATTGGGTTTTTTTTATCATAAATCTTTGCTTCATTGAATTCAGCCGAGCTAAGAGATTGGAAGACCGTGGAGTGTTCAATCGGGTAGCGGTAACCGGAGGATTGTGAAGAAGGATTTGGGGCCAATTTTCTTGAGTACAAAATCATTCAAGGTAGAAGGAGTTTTTGTTCAAGATCTTGCATACTTGATTCATCTGGAATCAAGGGAAGAGGAGTGCAACATATAAGATTCATCAACTGACTTTGAATTGTGGTGATTGTATCTTCTCTTATAAACTTTGCAAAATTAATTTCATATTCTAATTCTAGATTCTAGAATTGGGGGCAGAGTAGCCCACACGAGGACGACAGGGTGAACTTCCTTAACAAATACCGTGTCCATTTTAGTTTTTTGCATTTGATTTATATTTGCTTAAATTTGTGAGTTATCAATTTTCTCATTCATACAAAATAATTATAGTGATAAACTAAAATTTAAAAATCATATAGCATTCATTCGAATCATTATAATCACTACAATTTGAGTATAACCAAACCTTGTGTAGTACGTACACCAAGTGTTTGGTGAATTTACAACTTACAAATTTGCTTTATCTTCTCCGCAACTAATTAGTAATAACTTACACCTTGTTAAATTTGCTAAAGCGATTCATCATATTCATTTTTAATTGTGATTCTATTCTCATCATTTTCATCAAATTGGTTCGCATATCCGATCTTTCCAATACGTAAAGTTTAGACGATCAGATTCAGGATTATCGCTCTCTGATAAAAACAATTTTACAAAACACGCAAAAATTTTAAAGGGATCTATTCACCCCCCCCCCCCCCCCCTTCTAGATCTGTCACATCGTCTAACATTGATTCTGGTATTTTAGAAAATATTTGGTAAAAATGCATATATGTATACCGACAATTTTGAAAATACTGATATAAACACTAAAATTATGTTTCTCATGGGATAAATGTGGGACATAATGTCTTAGCAACCGGTTCAATAAGTTAAACCAGAACCACCATAATTAAATTGTACAAGATGATGGAGTAGAAAAGCATTAAATAACACAATCAATTGGTAACTTAGTTCGATGCAACCTGCATCTACGTCTGAAGGATTGACTTTCAACCCAAGAAAAGAAATTCATTATTAGTAGGTTGAATAATCAGTCTTACAACCAACAACAAACTCTATGTTGTCCAATGCATTTTCCTAAAACTACCCAATGACTTTATATTTAGTACTCCCCTTAAATATGAGACATCGTCTCACTTTCTTTTAAACACTAACCCAAGTGTTTGAACTTTCAAACACTAAACCATAGTGATAAACTTCAAATAGAAAAACATGCCAAGTTACTGAAACATAGTGATGTACATAAAATAACAAAGACTCTTGTAAACCTAGCACTCTATGATCTTCAATGTGAATGCTTGAATTCTAATGTAGGTTTGAACTCCTTATATAGCATAATGATTTTGGACTTTTCTTAATGGATATTTGATTTGATTTCATTCATAAATAATGCAAAGTTTTTCTAATATTATTTTTTTCCATAAATATCTCCAACAAGATATGATTTGTTTCAATTTAAATCTCTATTTAAATCTGAATTAATCTTCATCCAACAGTTAAACGAATCACTTAAAATTCCAGATGTTGTAGCAACATGCTGAGACATCGTGTCCAACATGTGTCCCTTATGCATCTCGATACAGCTTAAGCAAGCTAGATTAATCTTGAAAATTTTGAACACTTCTCCAAGTTGTTCTTTTGCTAAAATGCAGTCAATTCCAAAGAGTCAATCCACAAGGAACTTCAAACACATACAAACATATCACATTTTTAGAAAAATGCCTTTTTATGCAAGGTTGTGACTGGATATTAAAAAATTGATAGGTCAAATTATTAAAAAAATTATTAACTTTTTTTGTAGTGAGGACAAGGGAAAGAGGTGACAAGATTATTCCTCGTTTTAACAAGAGAGTAGAGATAGCAGTTGTAGAGAGCTCTGGTGGACACAACAGCGATAATGGAGATCCGATACATATTAGGGTCGATATAGTAGTCTCCGTTGATTCTCACCGTAAACAGATTGAGAAGTCTCACATATCACGTAATCTCTAGCATATAAGATTTAGAGCTAGACGAGCAATATATCATGATGTAGAGCCAGATATTGTGTTGTTTATGATGTTGAGTCAACAACTCATAATGATATAGAGGTTACTCCTCAGGCTAATACTGAGATTCCTGCTTTAGCTGATACGTATGTGCTGAATCAGTCTGATATAGATTCATCTATTCAAATAGATGAAGGGTTCCCTTGAGGACTCAATGATCTACCTTACTCACTGAGCATGTCGGTCATGTGGCATTTAGTCTATAGAAGACGGGTGTATAAATATTTTATTTTAAGTTATTTTTATTTATTATTGGTTAATTGAATATAACATATTATTTATCTTTTATTTGTTACATGACCGTCCTCATTTGAAGGTGCCCGTCTAAAGGTTAAAGTTAAAGAAATTCTCTAAAGTGCAGATGTCAGATGAGGTCGGGGAGATTGTCGTTGGTACCATCATGTTGCCATTGGTGGACTATTTGTTCATCATACTCTGTGCTCCATTGTTGTCTGATTTTGTTTAACAATGGCATAAGAAGACATCCTTCTTTCATCTTTCATTTGATGAGATGAAGATTACCTGGATAATATCTCCAACCTCTTCCATCTTCTCTTTGCATGTAACTTCTTCACTGCTCCAGTGATGAAGCAGGAAATTACGTGTATAGTTGCTGAGACATACCTAAACGTTACACTGGGGTTGATCTTGGATGAGTTTAGAGCTAACAAGGGTGCTCACTTTCGTATCTCTTGCCTCTAGGATATGTATCAGTCAATGGTGCAACACTTTTTGTGTGAGGCGGCTACTAGAGTATACATGTTGTATCTTATAAGATGTACTATCTTAGTGAATAAGTCTCATATATACATCGATGTCAGATACAAATCCATGATTGATGACTTTGCACATCTTGATCAGGCTTGGGGTTGTGTTGCTTTGACGATATTATATACTACCCTTGGATGAAAATTAGGATTACATTATTGCAAGATGAAAGTAACTTAACATGAATATTGCTTAACATAACTTAACAAGAAAATAACATGAACAAAAATTAAAAGTTATTAGATGATTCAGGACATTTCAATATCTTGAAAATATCGTCGACCTATCTTGCCACTATCGCATCAACCTCGATCAAACCATTTGTTTCGTATGGGTGATATATACTCCACATAACTCTTAAATATTCATTCGTCTTCAATTTAAAGTTGATCAACTTCAACTTTCCTTTGTTATCAATTGATGTTGAACAATACTTGATCTTAACAACCACTCTATTGTTTGGGTAACGCAAGAGATTATCCAGTTTGGATTTCATAACATCAAGAGGGGTGTCCTTTGTGAGCCTAAAATCAATAGGAGATTTCACGTCGTTGAAATACATAAATGCGAGATACAAAAATTGAGACATTGTGAGGTGTCTTTGTGAACAACATATGTGTATTTATACAAATTTTAAATCATTACAATCGACACAAAATTGTTAGTGTAATCACAACCTTACAAAAGTGTTTGCACAATCATAACCGTTCAAAAATAATACTAGCGGATTTTTTAGTGGTGTAGGAAGATATCCCGTAAAACTTTTGATACACACTGAATATTTTAAATAATTCGATAAAAATTTATATTAGATTTCTTATATGAACTACCGATTTTTTTTGAGACTAAGAGAAAAGTTTGCAACATTTGTTTGATGAAAAAAATGGAGGGGATGTTTTTTGATATTGTGAAAATATGTAAAGGGTGCCGGATAGATTTCTCAAAGTATAGGCGCATGAGTGCCTGCCGGGTAGGAAATTCGGAGTAAATTTGTATAGAAAATCTCAAGATGAAGGCCCAACAACATGGAAGGCCCATAACTTAAACCCAAATTTAAGACCCATCATCCATAGAATTTGTTCAATGTATGAGTTAGTTTTAAATGCGTTGCAACATTACACTACTAGTTTTCTATCAATCCCAAGATGGCAACTCTACACCATTTCATGGCTTGATTGCCATATTAGATAACACATGATTTATCTATTTTCTCTGTAAATCAAAATCTTCATATTCATAGATGTTGATGTATTCACTATAACCCCACACACAAAAACTAAATCTATATATACAACTATTTTACAGGTAGTAACTGATTAACACTTGATGTATTCTGAGGCAAACATAAGATTTCATATGAATATGATATCATGATATCATAGACATAATGACTTTTCAGCTACTAGGTGATAACATACTTCAATCACTTTGTCATAAACTTTTTTGCTATAAAACCCACTAGCCCATTTGCACATTTACACACTCTCAAACTGTGTTAACACATTATAGAACTTGCGACTTTTTAAACTTCAACTTCAGCATGGAATTTGATAATGGTAAACAGCATCAAAGCGGAAAATTTCGAGAGCTGAAGTTGGTTGCATTTTTTGCTCTATGCCTCATACTAATCTCTCCTGCTGGTAAATTACTTTTCATTTACATGCAAAACATAGGAAACTTGCTCATATCATTTGGTTTTCACTTTGTTTTATTTTGTGCGTATAGAGGCCTTTGATCCATTGGATCCAACTGGGAATGTGACAATAAGATGGGATATCATGTCTTGGACATCAGATGGTTATATGGTAAGTCACTTCAACGGATCTCAGTTACTTCAAGAAATTAGTCTCTGCAATTACACCGGCAAAATATTCATCTAAGCAATGCTCTAGCTATCTTTGAACTAATCAAAATACTATGATGTGAAATTTTTGCAGGCAACTGTAACATTATTTAACTTTCAACTATACCGAAACATTATGAACCCTGGATGGACATTAGGATGGACATGGGCCAAGAAAGAAATCATATGGGCTATGATGGGAGCACAAGCTACAGAACAAGGAGATTGTGCAAAGTTCAAGATAAAGATTCCTCATAGCTGCAAAAGAAGTCCTCAAGTTGTTGATTTATTACCCGGTGCTTCTTTTAATATGCAATACACAAACTGTTGCAAAGGTGGTGTGTTGACATCTTGGGGACAGGACCCTTCCGGTGCAGTCGCAGCATTTCAGATGGGTGTAGGACTCTCAGGAAGATCTAATAAGACTGTTAAACTACCTACGGATTTTAAATTGCTTGGACCGGGACCGGGATATTCGTGTGGTCCTGCTAAGAGAGTTCCTTCAACTGTTATTCTTACCGATGATCGTAGAAGAAAAGCTCAAGCTTTGAGTATGCATACTAATTAATTCCCTTTATCAAACTTACATCTGCGTAGTTTGTTGCAAGTAGTGATAGAACTATGGTAAAATGCGGCTTAACAAAGATTGCGAACACGATGGTGTCACTTCCGTTTAAAACCTTGGTAAAAATGTATTATTAGTATTGTTTAAGGTTCTCATTTTGTTTCTATGCAGTGTCCTGGAATGTGACATGCACTTATTCACAATTTCTTGCCTACAAGAATCCAAGTTGTTGTGTTTCTTTATCAACTTTCTACAATGACCAAGTCACAGCTTGCCCTACCTGTGCTTGTGGTTGTCAGAACAATGCTACTTGCGTCACGTAAGCCGCTTTTCTACTTTCACGGTATCAGTAAAGTTTTAAATTGCAGTCGAGGTTGCATCACGATCCTTAATACCGAGGAAAACACAGTCAAATATGACTGATTAGTAATTTGGTGTAGCCTCAATTGCAGTTACATAGACATCAAAACTTTGATGCTGCAACCTTGGTTAAGGTGTGATGCTACAAAACTTAACATTGTCTGCAATTGCAATTGGGCCCGCAATTCCGATCATGCATGCTACGACATTATTTGGAAATAATAATGATAATTTTGATTTGTGATTATTGAAATGCAGGAAAGAATCAAAGATCCTGAAAGAAGTTGATGGAAATAACAAGACTAGAAAGAGTGATATCACACCAAAACCATTGTTACAATGCACACGCCACCTTTGTCCTATTCGTGTTCATTGGCATATAAAAGACAACTATAAGGATTATTGGCGTGTGAAAATTGCAATCATCAACTTCAACTATAGACTGAACTATACACAATGGGGTCTTGTTGTGCAACACCCTAATCTCAACAATGTTACACAAGTTTATAGCTTTGAATACATGCCACTTCTTCCTTATCAAGCCATAAGTAAGCTCTCTGAATTTTTTTTTAGTACATCAAAATTTCGTTGAAGAAAACTATTTTAGACTTTGTGCATGATTGAATTGTGTATGCAGATGACACAGGTATGTTCTATGGTTTGAAATACTACAATGATCTGTTAATGGAAGCTGGTGCTAAAGGGAATGTACAATCTGAGGTACTTATGAAAAAGGATAAGAACACATTTACATTACAACAAGGATGGGCTTTTCCTAGAAGAGTATACTTCAATGGTGATGAATGTATGCTGCCACCACCTGATTCATACCCTTTCTTGCCAAATTCTGCTTATAGGCTGCCAATTATATCCATAACAGTCTATGTCATATTTGCATCAGTTTTCATGTAATTGTGACTCTTTTGTGATGTATAAGGCAAGTTAGTATATGAAGCTTATGAGAGTATTCGATTTGAATGGAAATATGCAACCCGGAATTTTGATATTCTCATATGAAAAAATAATCATCCAAGCAAGTAACTTAAAATAGTTATACAATACAAAAGATACAAAAATATGTTACATAAATGAAGGTAAAAAAAACAACCCTTAAAATAAATAAAAGGAAAGAATCTTGGGGCAACTATTCATCCACCTGCACCTCTTTTTATTGCTTCAATGGCAGCTTCTTGGTGCAGAATGGAATTGTATATGGCACTTTTATGTCTCCATAGAGAAAAACTCTATGATAAACTCGATAAGATTAACAAAGAAGCTAAAGTGGCTATGAGTGTAGTAAGTAAAGAGAAAACTAGTGTTGAAGATGCATTTGGTGACCAAGGATAAGCATCTGGAGGAGGCATAACACAATTATCACCATTGAAATAAATTCTTCGAGGAAAGGCCCATCCCTTATCGAATGTGAATGTTGATTTGTCCTTTCTAAACAAGATTTCTGATTGCACATTACCTAATGATCCAGCTGATGAGAGAAAATCATTGTAGAATTTCACTCCCCAAAGCATACCTGTATCATCTGTAAAACCACATCGAAAAACAACATTAGGAATATGTTTTCGGTCACTGTAACATAGTCTTTAAAGGCTTATGAGTTATGAGAGTATAGAACTTACTTAAGCCCTCGTAGGGATTTAGGGACTTGTACTTAAAGCTGAAAAGCTGAGTAAGATTATCGAAATTGGGATGCTGCACCACAAGATTCCATTGTGAGTAGTTCATTCTGTAATTGAAATTTGTGATTGTGATCTTGATCCTCCAATACTCTTTATAATTTAGTTTCACATGCCAATGCACTCGAATCGGACACATGTGACTTGTGCATTGGACTAGAGGTGTATTTAAAGGTTTTCCCGATGATGATACAACTGAAGATAAATGCGGAGAGTTTCGACTGAAATACAAATTCAGAAAGAAAAAAAAATCATGAGTTGGGAAAATAATGACAAAATCCACTATGAAACATTCTTTGAAGAACTAGTACAAGAGAGATCGAAATATAAATTGGAGACTTACTTTACACAACTGTCAGGTTGTGTTTTGTTTTGGCAGCCACAGGTGCAGGTTGGGCAGTCTACTATTGTGTCGTTATAGAAGGATGAGAGTGAAACGCAACAAGTCGGTGTCTTTTGAGCCAAGAACTGAGAATAAGTGCAGGTAACATTCCATGTCACTGCCATAAAATATAAATGTCATGTTAAAGAGAATCTCAAATTTGGTTTCCATACTCATAAATAACTCTTGGGAATAAATGTACAAGGCAAAGATATAACTTACTCAAGGCTTGTGTGACTCTCCTCTTGTCACTGGTAATAAACTGAGTTGGTTTGACAATTTTAGCAGGACCGCAAGTATAACCAGGACCAGGTGCTCTGAGGGTGAAATTTCTTGGAAGCTTAACTGTTTTATTAGTTGTTCCAGCAGAACCAACGCTAACCTGAAAAGAACTTACTGCGTTGCCTGGATCCTGAGCCCACGAATTCAAGACACCGCCTTTGCAACAATTTGCAATCTGTTGGTTGTAAGGTGTTCCTGGTAACAAATCAACTACAGTTGGATCCTTCTTACAACAATGTGGAATTCCTGCTTTGAATTTCGAACAATCTCCTTGTTCTGTTGTTTGGCTTCCCATCATGTTCCAAATTACTTCCTTTTTAGCCCATGTCCACCCTAATGTCCATCCTGGCTCTTGAATATGGCGATATTGTTGAAAATTGTACATTGTAACAACAGCCTATGAAACACAAGCAAAAGCAAACAATATGTTCAGAAAAATAAACATGTTTATAGTAGCCAAAATGTTCAGAAACAAAAGCAAACAATACTTTCGGTTTTTTCTTATAATCGAAATTGTCATTCATTTGTACTGAAAACGGTGAAATCAACTGTTTTTGTTTTTCATTTTTTTCAAACCTCCAAATTTAGGCTTGTAAAATAAGTAATATATCCCGATCATAAATTCATTTTCAGGTCATATTTCAGTCAATGTCACGTCCAAAACTAGACATCTGGAACGTGACCCGAGTAACCCGAAGGCAGATAAACCAACGAATTTTGGATAAACTTTGATGCTATCTTAATATTTAGGTTAAACCTCACTCAACCTCACAAAACCGACTTGTAAAGGGAGAGAGATGCCTTACACTTTTAAACTCATTTTCAAGCCATATCTAATGCAACATAGAACTTCAATAAATATTTTACATAACTCTTATAGCTTCCATAAAAGCATCCAAATCAGAAATCACATCACATAGTATTGAATATTTTTCCTTACACTTTACCACAATTAAGAAAGTTCTAAACACTTACAACATAACCATCAGCGGTCCAACTAATAATATCCCATTTGAGTGTAATATTTCCATTTGGATCTAACGGATCATAAGCTTCTGCAAATCAACAAAATCACTTCCAAATCATCACTAAAATCCAAACCAATTTTTCAACAAAAATCATTACTCCATATACTAACTACATACTTTCTTTCTCAACTGAATTAAACACTACAGAGCTAGATTAAAGCAACATAATAGAAAATGAGAACTAGAAAGAACAAAAAACCTGTGGAAGTGAACGTTGAGCAAGAGAATAGTATAAACAGTAAAGCTACAAATCCAGCACGAGATCCAACGGTAGATAACCAGATTGAGTCCATTTCTTGGTGCAGATTTTGTGAATGAAAATGACAAGGAAGCTCAAGTAGAAGTTCAAGATCTGCACCAGAATGGAAAAGAGAGAGAGAGAGTGTGTGTGTTGGTTTTGTGATGAAGTTACTATAATCATCAAGTTGAATGTAATAACTGTTTTTATTATGTATGTTGTGGAAAGTGTTTGGGGGTATTATGGGAAAATGAATGAAACCGACAGAGGAGAAGGTGTGAATGGTAAAAGACAAAGAAGTGAGTGTGTGTAGGTCCTATTGGCTTATTGTTGTATTGAAAACCTCTCCTTGCTATATCTGTCGGTGCTCTATTTTTTATTCATGTTTTGAAGAAAATAAATGATTTTTGTTCTTATAATTTTAAAATTTTGGTTTCATAAAAGCATTTTTTTAATAACAGTTGTATTTCTTGAATTATTTAATTCTTTTTAGTTGATGGGACAAGAGTCTATTGTATTATTGCTTAACATGAATGGACATCAAATAATGTTGATAAATTGATAAAATAAATGTGTTGTAATCATTGTTAGTTGTTAATGACTCATTTATTATAATTATTTTTTAAGAGTAAGTTTCTTTTAATAAATCACAAGTAGATTAAATAAAAATAAAAGAGTATAAATATTGAGAGACAAAATATGAGTGAGGCAAATCATATTAAAAAGTAGTCAATATTTTAAATAGAATATAATTACTAATATTATCTAAGGAAACTGCGTACAAAAACGAAATTAGATAGTAAAAGAAAATATGTTGTGTGGGTCTTCATAATCTTTAATTAATAGTAAATGAATCGACCGTCAAAACAAACTAATTCACGTATAAGTAACATTTTGCGATAAATTATAACAAACATAAAAGTTATTTCAAGCTAAACAAATTTATATTGCAGCGAACCATAATTAGGAAATTGCAAGCCCAACAAATCGGCGACAAGATTTTGAAACACAACAAAATTGTTGTTGTGGTAGCATCAACCCCAACACCTTGAAAACTGCAGATCCCAACTGTAGCGGTAGAAATGTTTAAGACTAAATAATTAGATTGATTAGACTTATACAAATCAAAAATAAATTTGTCACCGCGCTTTATTGTTTCCAAAGGAATGGGAAAAGAGCGAGTAATCCAAAAAGAGGGGGAAAGATTAAAGGTAAGGAGGTTGGTTATGCAAAGGAAAGGTATTAGCCCCCTAAACATCTACGGTACTCCGCAAGAACCTCTTTGAAAAATCTGTATATTTTGGCTATAAAATGTTGTATAAAAAATAGATGGTGGAGGTGAGAAAAGAAGTATTTTTTATGATTTTTGCATCTGCCGCGATTGCGAACCTTTAGTGCCTACGTACCACCTTTCGTGTAATAGGAAATCATGGTACACGTAGTTCACCTTTTAAAATTTTAAAACACAAGTATGTTGGTTAATTTTATGAGATAAGACATCATCGTCATTGTCCGTGTGGAAAACATACTTACTACTCACAATCATGAGAAAGGAGAATTTGCATCATCTCAAAGTGGAGGATATGGCTTGGATTTTAAAAATTAACAAAACCTCACTCAACACCCAAGTGGAAAATATCACTCTTCACTACATATTGTAGAAGTATAGTTGTTTGCATCACTACAAGAATTGACAAGAGTCTAATCTTTTGAGAAAGGTTTTTAAATAAAAAGCCAAAGTGGCAAAAATGGTTTGAAATGAGATTGATTGACTTTTAGTTTTCTCAAAAAAAATGTCAAGGTATTATTAAGTTGATTGAAGTTTATTTATGAAAAATATTTTGAAAATGCATGGACCTAAGTCCAAGTTTATTATGAAAGTGGTTCAAGTTTTAAAAAAAACAAGAAGAGTTTTCAAAAGGAGGGAGAGGATTTTTGAAATTAAAGAAGATGGGAGGAGAAGAATAGACTATCCTAAAGCATAAGGTAAAAGATAAGGAGAAGAACCATCTAACCAACAAGAAGCTAATACTTGACATTATGAGTCAAGATAGAATTCTCATTCTTTGGATTGAAACCAAGCAAGCAAAGATACTAGACCTCTTGAGAGAACCAAACTTCAAGTGTATTAAGTCTTCACAAAAATTGGACAGAGTAACGACTGTATACGGGTGAATTCCATATTACAAACAAAGTATGTAATCACAATGACCTGCACACAAAACAAAAAAACAATCCAATGTCTTGAGGTAAACCCCAAGAACTCCAGACAAAATATCAATTAAGATCACAAAGTCTCCAACATAGGCCAAGGTGTCTAATCCTAAGTCCAAGAAGTCCAATACTCCATAATGCCAAGGATAGTAACCAAATAGTCCAAGTATCATTAAAGTTTTTTATGGTTCATGTTGATTATTAAGTATCTTCAAAAAGAAAAGAAAAACTCAAGTGAGAAAAATAAAAATGACATAAAAATAAATACACAAGTGAGCAAAATAACTTGAATGCGTCGACCGCACCAGGGGGTTGCATCGACGCAACCTTAAATTTTCTTGACCATCAGGTTGAGTCGACCTAGGGGTCGGCGCAAAACAACCCGGGAGAAGCACAATGCTTTGAGTCGACCAGAGCTAGTTTGCATCGACGCAGGCTTCATTTTTCTTGCCAAAAAAGTTATTTTCATCCAAGCTTACATCCCACACTTTGTCCCAAGTATATTTTATGTAGCACACGTGTCATTGAGAATAGGAGTGGTTTTGACATCATGAAAACATGAATCTTTCCCTCACAAGTTTCACCGGCTTGTTAAACATCACCAATTGTACCTACCTTGACCTTCCTCTACAAAAACAAAACACATTACTTGTTAGTTCAAAATACATGATATGTCAGTTCAAAATACACACTTATCATACATTTCTCTTTAGTCCATTAGGATCTTGTGTTTTGCTTTTACATGTTTGAGCATTGTGACCAAAATTTTCACACTTAGTGCATTTGTAAGAAACACATGACAATCTCCTCCTTCTAGCACCCTCTTCACCATACTCCCTTATCCTTAGCTTTCTTGTTTTTCCTAGACCTTTCTTGTACATAAGGGGTAAAATCTCCTTTGACTGAACTTCTGGCCACATTTCCTCACCATTAATTGGACTCACAGAAAAACTATAGCATATTGCATACTTGTCTTTATAATAACAGTGATCAACAAAATCCTCTAAATTATGTTGCCTAAAACCTAAAGCAATAACAATATGCCTATAAGAAATACCAACTAAAACCTAGAAATTACAAGTGCATGATCTCTTATAAATGTCAACTATAAATTCCTGACTGTTATAGGAATGAGTGACTTGGAATTTTCCATCCATTGCCCAAGTAAGCAGCCATCAACCACTAAACATGACCTCATTATCAAGTCTTTTTCTAGGAATTAGCATAACCTTATGAGGCCATTTTTTAAGCTTCATGGCAGAAGTAGAGCATATGTTCATTAAATACTTCCCAATCCACTCACACATTGTTAAAATTGGTTTATCCCTAACACTTAATATGGTGGCATTAAAGGACTCAGAAATATTATTCATAAGAACATCACACTTAGGGTAGAAACTGAAAGCATGCTTACACCAAACCTTTGGAGGAACACCCCTTAACCAAGTCCAAGCATTATGATCTACCAGCTTCAGCTTATTCATCTTTTGTAACCATCCTTGATAGTATGTAGACTTTGCAGCCCCTGTCATTAGATCTCTAATTAAAGCTCCACCTCCAAACCTTTTCTTGAAATTTGCATAAAGATGCCTTAAACATAGCATATGCTCTATCCTTTCAAACATCTCCTCAAACACAGCTACCAAACCCTGAAACATTGCATAATATCAGTGCAAAGTAAAATATGCATAACATATAACTTAATGACAAAAAAGGTATACCTTTTGTTGATTAGATATAAAAAAACGAATCTTTTGTCCTGGCCTACATCTGTCACCAGCAACTTAAGAAACCACCTCCAGCTTTCTTTGGTTTCAGTCTCAACCACCCCAAAGGCCAAAGGAAAATACTGATCATTTGGGTCCCTACCCACAATAATTAATAACTGACCCCCATACTTTGTTTTTAGATGACATTCATCAAATCCAACAAAGGGTCTACAACAATTAATGAAACCCTTTTTACAACTATCAAAGAAAAAGTAAAAGGAACCAAACCATGGCTGAATAGATGGACTTGGTCTTTCTATAATGATACTCAAAGTGTTCTCAAGATTCAGTCTATGTAATTCTGCAGTATATCTCCTTAAATTTTCATACTGTCTGTCTGCATCTCCTTCAAGCATCTTCTTGGCTATGAGTTTAGCCTTCCATGCCATAGCCATCGTGACTCCCACAAAATAATTTTGCCTTAAGTCTTGAATTATATCACAGATCCTGACATTATCAGAAGTTTGCATTTTCTTCAACACAGCCTTAGCCACTCACCTTAAACTTACAAATTTGTTGTCTAAAACCCTAACACATGTGTGTTTGTCAACTATGGTTTTTATAGAATAAGTGGGCTTATGGCCCACTTTGGAGCACAACATTAAAAACCCACAATTGGACCTGCATACTACCCTTACTCTGTCACTTTCATTTTTCACAAACGTAATTTCCCTCCCATTTAATATTGACCACTCACAGATGGCATATCTAAAATCATCTAGGGAGTTGAATTGCATACCCCACTGAAATTTAAAATCCTTATTTAAATGCCATTTCCTAAAAATTTTAAACTTTAGCACTTTTCCTTTATCACTATCAGATAAATCCGGGTCAGAGCTATCCAGCTCATCACTCACATATTCTTAATCCTCACAACTTTTTTGTAGGACCCACTCATAAACTCACCAACTAAAGGGCTCTCATTAATGGGTTTAGTTACATCAATCCCTTCAAAACCATCTAGAATAGCAGTGATCCATTTATCCCCACTATCACCCAACCCTTCTACTAAATCATCATTGTTGTACCCCAAAATTTGCCCTCCCATAATCTTCAAAGTTTTTGACAAGCA